TTAATTTCTGTATGATAGACAACACCAACCAAAGAACTAAGTACTTGCTGTTTTGTGAGAGGGTGATTTTCCTTTTCTTTTCTTTTTGCAACAACCCTTTATGAGAATGTTAAAGCGTTTCGGAAACCCTCTCTCTGAGCTGCGGTCACACAGAGAGTGACACGAGGCAACAGGTGAAGAGGGGGGAGAGAGAAAAGAGAGGGAACCCTGGCAGTCATGGAGGGACATGCTGCTAATTAGCCGGTTTGGGGGCAAAGGTTAGGCTGGTTGTGTGATGTCACCATTAAAGGAAGGGTTCCAGATGTTGGTCACATGCAGGAGGGCATCCGATCCTCCCAGTCATTATCCGGTCATGTTTTCGCATAAATGTGTTGGTTGTTCAAAAACAGCCCCCCCCCCCCATTTCTCTCTCTCATGTTTTATTTCTCTGCTCTACTTGTGCTACTGCTGTGTTCATCTTTTCCAAACTTTGGAAAGCTGGATGAATTATTATTTTTGTAACATCCTATAACAAATAGGTGTAATTACCAGGCCTTGTTGTATCCCACTCAACGGCGGTTTCTGATTTTGGTGAAATTCTTCTTTGCCCAATGATTCCATCATTTAGCTCCGTATCGTAAATAAAGGGATGTTGCCTTGTTTTTTTCAGAGGCAGGAAGAAACTACAGACAGTGTGGCAAGACAAAAGGAGTTAGTGGTAAAAGGTGCAATCCTGGATGGATTTTGTGGCCTTTATATTTAATTGTTTTGCCTATTAGTTTTGTTCCAGACCACATGCAAGCAAAACTGTAACTTCATCTGCTTGGTGCTCTGTATCTCGGCAACCTATGAGCAGTTGTCTCTAAAGAGAAATGTTTAAAAAGGTTAACGCCATTCATTTCGGAGGAAGTTGGAGATTAGGTGTCAGTGTCATAAGATGCTTTTTTAGCCCTTTTAGCTCTTTGCTGTAAACGGAATCTAATGGGTGTGCAACTGCTGATTAATGCAAGAACAAGGGGTCCATATTGCGAATCAAAATACCATTTATTTACAAGAGAAACATTCCCATGTATTTTTGTTGCACACAAAGTGAAAAGAAAAACAACAAAAAAATAAATGAAAGGCAGAAACTGATTACTTGGTAGCTGTACAAACCAGACCAGGGCTGGAAGTCTGGAGTCAGGCTTAGGGTGAGAAAAAACATCATCCATCTACGTCTGAGCAGTGCAGTTGCCCTGTCCCTTATCACAGCTGTACTCCCACTGCCAACACACACTCTTACACACATATTCACAAATTGCTTTTCACCTCAGTTCAAATATTTCAAAAAAGATTTTAAAAAAAATTAAAGCAAAAATAACCAAAGAGAGGTTGCGGAGAGTGCAAACACACAGCAGGGAGTGAAGAAAGCCGGGCCAAAGGGATGGGGCGGACAATCTGAGCAATAAGAGAGAATTATGTACAAGATGATGGGAGTAGGAATATCACGCTGTATTTCAACAAAGCCACAATCCTTTGATATTCAGTGACAGGAACATCCGGGACAAGGCAAGAAGAGATTCTGCGAAACGAGATGAATTTTCTGTCATTGTGTGGGTTGCTGACCCGGAAGTCTTGGCCCTGCAGTGTAAGTGAGCTATTGGCCTCTGGAATGTGAGCGCACATGCACACTTATCTGTGCAAGTGTATGGATCTGTGGTGAAAGTGCTGGTTTCACAATGTGTGTGTGTGTGTGTGTGTGTGACGGATGAGTTTCTGCGCACGGGACATTGAGCGTGCCAGTTCATTAAAATTACAACTCTGAGTGCTGTTCACCATTTTTACATAGTTTTGTTTGTGTTTCTTGCCTTCACAATAGTCGCACATCACAGAGAAATAACAACTGGCCAAAGGTGATTTGTCATAAACACGTTATGTGGAGCTTTAGGAAATGTTCACTGATCATTTTAGACAGTCTTTTGTCAACAATTATTTTGGAGAATTGACTTGATCCATTTTTCATCAGATTCAGATTCATGAGGAATTTAGAACCTTGAAATAATCTGACTGGTCTCTTTGAGCTTTATTTTGAAAAGCCAACATTCTCACTTGCAACATGGAGCCTTTTGTCTTACAATACTCTATGAAATGTCCAGGCTTTTATTTTGAAGAGCATTTTTACATTGTATTTTGAAATTCCAAATTTCTTACTCTGAACAGACCTGTTAGATATTTGGTTTTTTCCTGAGTGCTGACCACAGTAAAATCAAAACAGACACACGCACACACGCACACACGCACGCACGCACACACACACATACACACACACACACACACACACACACTGATTTGAAAATCACTAAACACACTTATGACTTTGGTGTTCCAAGCAAACAAAATGATAGTTACAAATGGTTATACACACCCTCCAGATGCGCACAGACACAGGTAAATGATTAGGGACACATCAATCAGATCATCTGTTTCCAACAAAAAATTATAGACATTGATTAGGCCACATTTTACCTGATTACATTAAGAAGAAAAATACATATTATTTGCCACAGGGCTATTGTCAGTGAGTACTTTTTGTGCAGCAATGTCATGGTTTAGCAAAAAGCACTATTTACAGTTCTCCGCCGTCCATCACCCGAGCCCCTTCCTGGAAGGTGTGTGATCTCCGGCCGTACGTCCAGATGTCACTCATTCTAGCTACGGAGGAAGCCAAGGCTGTAATTAAAATGATTTCATCAACCATGTTTAAACAAAACAGCACCTTTCTTTGATCGTGACCGGCTGTATACAACACAGATCAATTAATGCCTCCATCAATAAAAATAAATGTTAGATCATAATTATTTACCACTTCTTTCAGGAAGACTGACTGTCTGTTTACGCTTCAATTTTTCTGGGACTCTGGCAGGGAAATAAACAGCAACCTCTGGTAATGCTTCAGCAACCGGTCCATCGCATTGTTTTAGGAGAGACTGTAGCATTAGACTGTGAAACCTCTCATTGTCCATAATGTCTTACAGGAAGGTTAGAACATGAACACATGTTGGTATTGATGGTTTGGGATATTTCTTCATGATTTGGCAATAACCAAAGGTGAAGGAGCTGAGGATGGTGATGTTCAGGTGGGGAGTTTCCATTCTAGGTCTCTACTCCAGGGCTGTTGGCAATTTAATAAAGCCAACTGTGCAGCACACAGGGAATTTTTTTTTTATTTCTTTCCTTCTCCAGAAGAAATATGCCTGTGACACTACAAGGTATTCAAACCTGCCATGCATATTTGCCTTAACTGTAAGACAGATGAGAACAAAACAAGGAAAATGGTTTTCAAAAAAGCATTCGGACACAATAACCACTTGTTGTTCACCGATTTTTATTTTTTGTTGTTGTTTTGACTACCAAAATAAAGGAGTTCATTTTGAGCCTCCTGACTATCTTTACTGTGCAATTGTTGCCCCGTTTATATTAAAGGCATATTCCAAAATAAATTAAATGCAGGGTTAGGGACTTATGGACAAAATATGTTTTTGTTTTTTTTTCAATTAATGGAAAATGCCAACAATCACCTAGGTAGTCACAATTTTTATTCTCACTCGATTAAGCAGACCGTCAGCATGAAAGACAAAGATGGAGATGCTTAACCATCACATGCTTTTCTATACTGGATGAGATTCTTTCCTGTGATCTTTTCTTTCCTTTTTTTGTTCCACTACTCAGAGGGAAATGACAGGTGTGCGTTGTGTTTGTTGATATATGGCGACTTCTCAAATCATGGAAACGTAACAAGAGAAATGTTGTTTATAGAGCCATCCGTATTATAGGATCATCCTTGTTGCTCAGTGCAAATGTTTCCAGTGGAGATTTTTTTTTGTTATATTCTGGAAAGTGAACTTCATTTTCTTCTCCTGAGCTAATAAAATGATCTCATCCCTTCATATCTCATCTTTTTCAGCACTTCAGTTAGCAGACACATGCCCACGGATACGAAGAGAGACGCTTTATCTTTAGCTTTCTGTGGCAATTCCTGTGACTGGTGATGCTGCTATCACACAGCAGGAAGAGAGATAGGATTAGTCCCCAAAGAGTCCACGCAGTTGGACTGGTGCATGCTCAAACTCCTCTATGAATCGTGTTGTATCTTGCATTCATAAATTTCTGCCTGACTCTCTGTGGAAGGGGGTATCAGGCTGCTCTTGTCTACAGGAACAAACTCCAGGCTTGGCTCAGATAAACCCCCAGAACCTGCTTGATATCTCTGGATAAACCATCCAGAGCTGCAGATATGTGGGACGTGTTGATTTCTCCAAAATGCAGGAAAACTTCTGCTACCCTGGGCAAAGACATTACACACATCCTCGTCCTCCCTTCCCTTTGCTTCCATCCAGTCTGCAGCCGTCCCTGCTGGACCACACTTTTAAGGAGTTTAGACATTTTGTATTTTCATAGCCAAGAGACTTTGACATGTTAGTTTTAAACCGACTGAAGGCATGACGGAATAGAAGTTTTAAGAAATCAGCTTTATGTGTTAGACTGTGTTAGTGTTGGTAATAAAATAAAAAAAAAAAAAAAGATTTCAATAAATTAATTGAAACTGAGCTTTTTTGACAAGAAACCTGTAGTGAAGTACAAAGTTTAGTGGCCATAAATACCTGGATTAATTATTAATTTACAAAAAGTGCATTAACATATGTTAGGCATTTTATAATTGATGTCTTTTCAAATTTTCTCATAGTTTCCCAGGTGAATTTATGACTGACATGTTAAATTATTAATAGAAACAAATTAAATACATTTACCCACTTACTATGTGTGGTTCAATGTGACTTTGTATGTTTTTGAAACAAGTGTGTGTTTGTGTGTGTGTGTGTGTGTGTGTGTGTGTGTGTGTGTGTGTGTGTGTTTGTTTGTAAAAGGCTAACCTTTGCAACACCCCCTCTGGTCTCATTTCAGCCTAATCAGATTTCTGTGTGAGTTTGTCCATCAGCTGTCCCTGGAGAGAAAAACGTAAGGCTACCGGAGGCTAACAGGAGATGACTGGAAGGTGAGAGGTGAGTTGTGATAAACATGTTCTTGACACACACACGCACGCACAAACATCTAAATATCAAATCTCAAGAAATCCCCTCCCCCTTTTAAGTCCTCTGAACCCCAAGTCTCCAGGACAGAAGCAGGCAAGCAGTGCCGCTGGCTCATTAGCGTGTGCACATATTTGTTTGTGTGTGAGCAATTTACAGACAGGCTGAATTAGAAGATCAGGGGCAGACACAACAGCACCACGCCTTAACGCTCTAAACGCAGATATCTGAGCACATTTGTGTTGTGTGAATTTGTCAGGTCATGTTGCTGATATGGCTTAATTTTTACTATTCCACTTTTCTTGGCATAATTTGACAACCAATTCAACTTCATCGTAAATAGTGGCAGTATGAGGAGAATAGTATATCTTCAGTCATGTCTGAAGCAACCAAATTAATCAGTGTTTCTTGAGTCAACACAACTATTTAACATGCAGAATATTAAAGGTGATGCCTCTCCTTTCAACTGGTCTAAATGGACAATATACACCAACGGGCATCGCTAATTGAACTATCTTTATTTTTTTATTTTAATCACAGCAATGTTCATTTTGACATTCTTTCCATTATTGCCACATTCTTGTTAATTTATGTATTTACTTACTTATTGCCACTGAACAGAAAACATGTGCTGTGATGTAAAATTTCTTCTTATCCTTCATTGTTCCAAATGTCTCTACTGCAAAAATATGTACTAACTAATGCTCTTAGTTCAGACAGCCTCAAGAAGACCAAAGAACACACCACACAGGTCAATAGTGAAGTTATGGAAAGGTTTAAAATGGGGGTTAGGCTTTAAAAGAATCAGCAAAACTTTAAACATATCACACAGAACTCTTGAATGAAATGTGAACATTAAAGGGAAGGACTACATAGTAATGTTTGGCTCCAGAGCGGGATGGAGACCCCTGGTTATTGCCTCAGTCCATAAATTCCCTCTATCGAGTCTGACCAAACTTGAGCAAAGAAGAAGCATCACTATGTGATCTCTAAATTACGCCCATTCGTATCGCTATACCTGTTAAATTGACCCAAGCTGAGTGCGAGTTTGCTTTACTCCACTGTCCAAATAATTCTGACATTTAATTCAATTTCAAAGATCAAGTGTGCTTTTGACTGCAAAAGTAAAAGCAAATTAAGCCTCAGCTCAAGACATTTGAACCCTTTGCAGTACTGATGATATCTGTCTTCTATTTTTTTTTTTTTTTTTAGTACAAGGAATAAACACAGAACACATCCATCAGCTAAGTGGTGGTCCTTATCTATTTCTCTCCCTCTTGATGCTAATTAAAGATAATAAACCTCCCGGATCATTTCTCTGCAGCTTCAAACTCACCGTCACCTCTGCTCCCCTCACACTCGAGCACACATGGCCAGATGGGGTGAGAGCTCATTTAGCACACCCTCTCGTTCAGTCCCCGAGGCGGCAGGTGGGTGTAAACCCAACAACGTCTCGGTACGTCTCGGATTCACCTAGACGAAAGTGAAGTGCGAGTTTAAATAAGCGCCGGATGATAAAAATAGTGTTGCTGGCTTTTACGTATACATAACGCGAGCTCTTAAACACATGACGGCATGTGCATTAAAGCAGACACACACACACACTCTCTTTCTCTCTCTCTCTGACACACACAAAGTAATTCCTCTGCATGTCTAAGCTTAAATCCCTCGTTTATCTTCACTCCACGCCTTAAACACAGGTGCTTGGAGAGTGCACAGATGAGAGCTTGAAGCCAGATAAAATGATATCATGTGTTTGAGTTCTCTGTCTCCATAATTTCCCACACAACATTCCCTCTTTCGCTTAATGCAACGTTTTCCGAAGGACTTAAGAGACTCAGGAGCAAGCTACTCCTGAGAGTTTCACGGAGCAAGAAGAAAAAAAGTGAAGATCTGTCCGTTCGGGCTTAAAATGGCCAGAAGAGTGTCTGTGGAAATGGGATAAATGGTTGTGGCTAACTTCTCCCCTTGGTGGCTGCTGAAGTGGAGCCAAGTCAGAGGGCGGAAAAAAGTGACTAAGACTACAAGCTCAGGAAACTATGCGATGCTACACAAACTCAAAATCATTCACACAGATTCTACTGCTCACTCAGAGTGCAAATCTTCTGCTCCGTGGTATTGCCCATGTCTGTATTTATTCCTAACCATAACAGAGCTGGCAGATAATGGCTGATGCGCAGGCCAGTCGTAAAAATAACCTGGCACAGCTCTGTTTGGATTAGCCTCTTAACCCCTCCCCCTTCTCTGTGCTTCCATCATGCTTTATTACACTCTTCTATCTATCTATCTATCTATCTATCTATCTATCTATCTATCTATCTATCTATCTATCTATCTATCTATCTATCTATCTATCTATCTATCTATCTAACTGACCTTTTTCTCAGACTGAAACATGTTACAATATTTATTTTAGAGAAGCCTTATCAAGAAGAAAGCACCAGGGACTGCCTGTCTTCCCTGCTTTCCTTGTTTGCGTAACACATTACATATTTTTCCAAATAAGTTAAATTACCGACCATGGGGAGGAAATCGTAGTCCAAGCCGGGACCAACCGAAACCAAAGAAATCCTTTATGTAATCAGTGTTTAAACATCTTTTTTTTTTGTTCACGGATGGAAACCATGAACATAAAGTTGCAAAAATTTCATAAAAAATAAAAAAATAAATTGGCTGCTGAAAGACCCAGTGAGGACGTAGTTCAGTTGTTCTTTTCTTTGTACTTATTTTTGCAGAATCCTTCAGTTTTTTGTTTTTTTTCTTTAAAATGTCCACAGGGCCTTTGGAGGAGAAACTGGCCCACAGCTTCACAGGTCCTCAACCATACAGTGCCCCAAAGGTGCTTTTCCACATTTTTAGACCCGTCTATCTGTTACAATCTCACTTTACGTTTCACTGATAAAGTTTGCCAATGACTCACAAATGCCTCCCTTTCCACTAGTAAAATATCCAGGCCTCCTTTACTCCACCATCCCTTACATCTGCCTGAAGCAGTCAGGTGACGGCTCAACTGCACAGTCTGCACCTCTTCACCCAGAGCCTGAGACAGTGGAGGGCTCTGTGAAACATTTATTTATTTATTTATTTATTTATTTATTTATTTATTTATTTATTTATTTATTTATTTATTTATTTATTTATTTATTTATTTATTTATTTATTTATCACTGAGGGTACCAATTTGTTGTGTTCTAGAATCACAATGGCAGATAAAAAAAATCTTATGTTTTATGTCTTACCAAAAACACTGATGTTTGCTGTTCTATTAACACAAATGTAGAAAATTTTAAGTTGCACAAGTTTATTCATGTAAGACCAGTTCATATCAAATGTCTGAATTGTGGCCTATCTTGACAAGTTTTTCTTGCACATACATTGAAACGTTTTTTATTTATTTATTTATTTTTTTTTTATTTTTTTTTTTTTATTAATGCAGTAAGCTTAGCCACTGGCTTATGAAGAAAAAAAAGAAATAAACTGAAGACTCTTGTTACCCAAGATTATATGTTATTGCGAGTCATGCTCAACAGAAACGGAAACAATTAGTTTGAAATCCAACAGCAAGAGAGTTGATTGTTTGAGTAAACTCTCTGAACCTCCAAAGGAGGACATTGTGGGCCTGTAAAACGCTGATCCTCAAGTCTGATGTGAATGGGAGGCCAATATTTTATATCTTTATGGAGGACTGGGAATACAATATATCTGACAGAGCTTTATTGGCTTACACTTTAAAGACTTCCTGCAAAGAGTCAGGCTCAAAGGGGACAAAAGGAGTGTAAATCATGGCGAAAACATTTTTTTTTTTCAATCTTTCATTTCATTTTGGGGCGCTCTTTAAACAATGCCTGCCGTGGCTGTCACTACCTGTCTCGGTTACGCATCGAAAACTTATTGTTATGTATCTCTAGGTCTCTCTTTTGTTTTTGTTTTTTTTGTATTTTTAGAAAAGATAAAGTTCATCTTAAAAAGTACACGAAAGTTGTTGGTGTGCTCCATTGTCTCTCCGAATGGCTAAGATGGGGTTACTAATGAGCAAATGTTCAAATGATGAAGTCTTTTTTTCCGAGAATCTTTTCTCCCAAACGCCTGTGGCCTTTGGATGACTCCCCAAGGAGACCATTAATTTAGATATCTGCGTGTGCGTGTGTGTGTGTGTGTGTGTGTGTATGAGTGTGTGTATGATTGTGTGTGTACATGCTCTGTGTGTCACTCCAATCCAAGTGGAAGATTTCTGTTGCCCTGGTTTAACATACACTGATACAAAGTGTGTGCAAAGTCAGTTAGGAAGTGTTTGTCTGCGAGCACGCAGCAATACGATTCGCTCCGCAAACAACACAGTCTCTCAGCTGTGCTAGCGTAACGACACTCTTATCACGCATCCCTCCATCTCCGGACATCCTTCTACACCTTTACCCCAACTCGCTCCCCAAATGTCACCCCAAAACATCCTTCCACGTCAACACCTCCCACCCCCCATTCCACCTAAATTTAAACCTCGGGGCAGGATAAATCTTCGAAGGGTGCTGCTCACACACATCTGCATGTGTAGGACAACAGAGAAAATGCAGAAAAAAAGAAAAAAAAGTCAATGTACATTGCATCTTGCATGCTAGTGTCCTGCCTAAACATATTTTCTGAATATATGTTTAGCCAGAGCAAGATGAATTTCAGTCGTAATTGTTAGGCTGCATGCAAATATTTGGAGCCAACTGTGTGTATGGTTAATGCCATCTCCAGTTGACACCCTCCCCGCCCCTAGTGCGCCTTGCGCGGCTCTCGGTTGTGATTGTTATGTGCCGTTCAGGCCATGCTCCTCCGTGTTCTTACAGCAGTTTGTTTTGAGAGTGATCTGTTTTCTAGAGCGAGAGGAAGAATCCACTCCACGGGGCTTACAGCACCTCCTTTCCAATCCAAACAGTGTCCGTCTGAAGTGCTGACAAATTGCACAGCCCCCCAGTTCTGGAGC